AAAAGGCTGTGCGTTATAGTTATTACGATCGGATAAGAACTTCGATACCTGATGAATTTTTGGTAGTATTTCCATCAGCTGAGCCTTCTACTAATTTTCGTTACGAGGATAAAGGTATGACTACTTTGAAGATCAGCAAATGCATTATCTATTACAAACTTGTTTCACTCTTAAAAAACCTTTCTTCAGAACATCCATTGTACAATTTGTCTACGAACCTGATAAGTAAACTCCGCACAAAAAGTCCTAATAGTGAAATACAATCTATTCTTGATGAGGTGGGCAAGAATTTCCCGGAAATGCCTCAACTCGAACGAGAACACTCTATAAGAGACTTGTTCACTCAATGTGTTCTTATGCTAGGTAGCAAGAGCTTCAGTCACGTGCTGAATGTCATTGAAAGGTGCTTGTTTTGAGCGGACGTTTCTAGATTTCACGCTAGGAAATGATATTAAAATAAAAAATCTTTTGACATTCAGATACCTACCAATTTTACAGTCATTGAACGAGACATTCGAGGCAAGAATTCATACTGTCAAAATTGTATCTGAATTCTGGGTCAATAATACGCAGGTAATTATTATTTAGTAATCGATCTAAACCGAATACATATATCCCGTTCCAGCGCATTGATGTTTTTGTTATTCCTAGTTTTTGGGTATTCTACTCGATAAATTATTGAATTATCGCGTTATTGATGCCATTGCCGTAATATATTGGCTTCTCTCTGATGAGATGGAGAAAGATATTGCCAGGCAAGACTCTTGGTTGCTTATCCCTCGCCTATCAATTTCATACGAGTATATAATTTTCTTTTACATTTTGACTTTTCAGATCGTACACGTGGGAAATAATGAAAAATACAATCAACAAGGTAATATCGCGCGTCAAGCAAGTAACAGTCAAATTAGAATCAATGTTAAAACCAGGTTCCGAGAATGTTGGCCAGGGCGTGGATATAACGTCTGAAGGTGATTAGTGACATCCAACTAATATAATGCGATGTTCTATTTATTTTTTCATGATTTTGTTCTTATCTATATTCTATGATTTAAAGAGAGTAAAAAGGTTAATCCCGATGAGATACAGAATCTCGAAAATACGTTGAACATGGTGACCAGAGAACAAAAAGAAGTTTTGCTAAAAGTGTTTCAACTATGCATTTCTCGGCTTGAAAATAAGTTGACAGATTACAGCAACCAGGGAATACAAGATCCGATGGCTCAGCCATGGTTTTGGTGGGCTTATGGATTCTTCAGAGAAATTGCTCGAACGGTATAGTATATGATTGACTACGGGCTGTCACGTATTTTTTACAAAATTTGTTAATTCGTACACCTCAATTTACTATTATTGTAGTATCAACCACAGATTTCGACATTTATGGTAACATTAGAAACTGTGGTTCTTACGCCAGAGTCTAATCCGAATATTACAAATGTTATTGAGATGGTGAAATTGTTATCAAAATTTAGCGAAGCGACGGTTGAAAATGACTTTTCATAGAATTTTGCATTCGAGTTTTTGTCAATGTCATTTCTTGATGCGTAACAGGTATATTTGATCAATGTAATAATAATATGGAGCGGCACAGATCAATGTAACCAGTGACTACTGAAGGAATTTTGGATCAAGTATTTTTTTTTTGCTGATAAATTAATAAAGCAACTCATAATGATTTTTCATTATTTTCTTAAAATTTTCATCATTAATTAATAACCACATCTACTGTAGTTGTCCATTATAGTTAATTGAAAGAATTTATTTTTTTTCCAAAATATAAATTTCTATTGATAAAAAAACAATAATAAATTTTTGCAATATTCTTTTTGTTGAAGGTATTATGTTTTATAGCTCTTTAAATAATTATATACAGATATTTGAAATATTAAATTGTATGTATGCTATAGATAAAAAAATAAAAATGATTTTTTTACTAATACAGTCATATAATTTATAGTTGTAAGTGGTTATACATATCCTTTTCTTACAAAATAGTTATTTTTTTTTTAAAAAATTTTTTTCAATTACTAATTATATATACTATATCCATTTGACAAGTTCTAGACTATAATAATTACTTCAGTAATGGTTGTTCCAATATATAAATCTAACACAAAAACTATTTATGTTAGTCAAAATCGCAATATGTTTGATTATTGGTATTATTTTATTATACATTAAAAACAGGTAATAAATGTATAGTTGTGTATGCGAAAAATCAAAATAATTAAAAAAATTAATACATTGTTTTTTTTTATTCAATGCTCACAAACTTATATCAGATCAGCATCTTCCAGAAAACGGTATTCAAATCTGTGTAGACAAAAGTTGAAAGTTGATAGAGCATTTGACATAACCGTGATACACAAAGCAAATGATCAAAAAACTTACCTAAATTCCGTCTTTTTTCGCTGACACCATGCTCCTTCGTAATCGAAATAAATATAAGTGCCTTGTTCATATTCGTCGGTTATTGCTTTAGGTTCTTCATGCCTTTGAAACCAAGTCAAATATTTTTTGTGAAATCTCCATGACTGTTTTTTCAATTCCCTAGCAGCAAGATATCTAAACAAATCATACAGATTAAAAAGAGTATCAGTATCATTGTTAGGAAAGGAGGATTTCAATGGATACTTACTGTTGATAAGTTCCCTGCTGATAATAGAAAATGAAAAAGAGCGTATCAATATCAAATTTTTCAAATAATGCAGGATTATCAAATATCTGTGTAGGATTCTGTGGATAGTGGGACGGGGTATGATAGGGATTCCTTGGCACATAATACTTGGGTCTTTAAGAATAACAGAAACCGAATTCGTATGTTAAAATAAGATTAGAATTTCAAGGTGAGATGAATGTAAAAAAATTTGCGATTTCAAATGAAATTCTACCTCTCTGAATCTATGCTTTCTGGAACATGCTGAAAACTTGCATCCAACATTTGCTGAATGTGAAAATTGTCTTCTTTACCCAAGGCTAAAGCAGCGGGAATGAATAAATGGACTGTTTATGCTAAAGCGAGCTCATGAAAATCAAAGAACATATATAAAGCGTGATGTAGTACCCCGCTGCTTACATTTCTCTTCGGCTGCTTCATATGACGGCACCAGATCTGCTAGAGCTTCAGGTATACGATTTTCTCCAGATGAAGAAGATTCGTGATTTGAAGAACCATCTTGCTTGCTTTGGTCGGCCACGTTCATGTCTGATGGTTGCTATAAACAGAAATGAAAAAAAAAAAGAAAATTAATAATTTCACGTTTACGAAATTCATCGTGAAAAAGTAATCCTTACTGATGGATGAGTGGGGGTTTGTGGTGGTTGAACAACAGGTATTTCGCGATTCTGCTGTTGTGGTTGTGATTGAGAAGGTGAAGGACTTATGTGTTGTTGACTAGGTTGACTAGATTGAGGAGGTAATCTGGTTTGCTTTGCCTATAGTAAGAAAGATAAATTTAAGAATTTTCCAAACGCGTAGCAAGCAATTTAGATAAATTACCTGAAGAACATCATTGGGTTGCGAAAATTGCTGTTTGGTGACATCGATTGATTCGCTTGGTGTCTCTGGATTAAAAATTACACGAAAAAAAAATATAAATAAATAAACATCCATTCGCATAGAAATCTTCGCGTTTGAAACCAAAGAAAACTGTCAAACCTTTTTTAACATCCACCGGAGGTATAGGGGGATGTAATTGTGCAGGTTGTATTGAGGGTTGTGATAGTGGCTGTGTTTGCGGGGTTTGTGATTGCGGCTGTTGTTGTATAGGCAATTGTGATTGCGCTAAAGGAGCAACCGAATTTGGTTGTACAGGCGGTACAGGTGGTTGTGATGCAGTCGAATTCTCTTGTGTTGTGGTTACCGAAGTCGCGGGAGGGAATCGTTGTGGTACCGATACTTGAGGTGCAGTATCGATTCCTTGTTTTGCCACTGCGGCCACTGTTCGAGATGAACCAGTAAGAGAAGCAGACTTCAATGGAGCAAACGTAGCAGATGTGGGAGGTGGCGATGTTACGGTTGCCCCCGTCGATATTGGCGGAGGTGGCAGCTTCGGTTTCTCTAGATTTGCATAAAAGCTAGGTGTCAAACAAATAATGACCGAAAAGTGTGCAAATTTTGAATAATTTGCACCCACCCTCTTCCTTTTGCCGTTGTGGCAGGGACTCGAAGGCATTACTGGTTTCTGGAAATGAAAAAAAAAAAAAAAAAAAAAAATTTTTTTAATCACGCACATAACTAATATGTTATCGATAGATGCTAATATTGTAATGAAATGAAAATCATACTTCTTGAAGGAACTGTCTTTGTTGAAGCTATTCTTGTCGTCGGAGAAGTTGCCGGACTCGAAGGCTACCAATTTAAAAATCATTTAAAATTTCAGTAGGCTACTTTTAAGCAGCAATTCACGACATTTCGTGTGTGATAGGGAAAAGTAAAAAGCCTTCACCTCTTTGGGTGGTGTCCGTGATTCTAAAGCAAATAAAGATTTAATATTTTTAGTGTAACGTGAGTTGCCGAAATTCGAATTGAAGCTTACCGTCAGAATTAGACTCATCGTTGTTATGATGATCATCATTTGTAATTCCCCAAAGTTCCTCTTCCTCTTCAAGATTCAAGTCATCATATATAACCTCATCCTCGGTAAAATCAGGATCCTTATCGAATCAAAGTTAAAAACATTTAGATCCATGTTAATCCCACCATGAAAAATCCGAATATTCCTACCTGATTGTTTTCAACGTAATATTTGATATCCTCTTGAATTTCAATGACCTAAAAAGAAGCATCTTAATATTGAGCTTAAACTAGCGCATACTCGACAATATATCAAATTCCACACCTTTTCAGGAAGTATGTTTCCGTTTTCCAGTAATCGCAATATTAATTCTAATCTATTCACATGAAACTTGT